AACTGTGTGCCTTTCAAGTTGACATTCAAATTGATAATTAATGTTATTCCCATTAGTATTTTCTAGTCAGAATTTGCATATTATGAATCATATATAAAATATATATATATATACATTGTTATTAATGAAGTTTTAATCACCTTTTATTCATTTATGTAGCACATAAGTTGATTCTAATTTTTGTCTTGAGAATAAGATACAGATACAGAAGGTAAGACTGATGATATTTCCCTCCATATATTTTTTTTTACATAATCCTTCACCAATCTTATAACCTTCACCCTTCCACTAATAATTTGCGTTTTCCTGAACTAAAAACATTGGGATAATGAGAAGAACATATGGACAATTGGGAAAAGAAATATTATAACAATAACTTTGGAAAATACTAGACCATACATGCTGCAAAAAACAGAAGTGCATTGATAACCTCAGAAAAATAACTATTTAATTAAATAAACTAAAAGTTGAAATAATTATAAAGGAAGTTCATAAGTAAAATATAAAATATTTTATACTTATTTTCTTAAATACTAAATGTAACAGCTGGAATAAAGTATCAAAATATGGAAGGTATGATGTTTTGCAAGCATCATAGCAATCCTTTTCATTGTCAAAGTACTTTTAGTTATTCAAACAGGAAGAAAGCATGAAGGAAATGTAGAACAGAAAGTATGTTCAGTATTTGATAGGGTGAAGGGTGCAACAGAGAAAGTAGATCTCAGTGTAGAATAGGCAAGTGAGGAGTGTTTTTAGGTGATGACTTGGTATATGTACACTCACTTCTCATACCATCCACTCCATGTGAAGAGAGTTATTACCACCTCACTGTTCCTCCACATATGTGATCCCCAGTACCTGGTTAGACAGAATGATTTTCTACATGGATCCTTCACAAAACTGTGCTACCATCATGTTCTCGACATCCCATTATCCAAGGGAGGTGCCTCCGCCCTTAAAGAGGTTTCTCTCCTAGGTATCGCCAACACCATGTGGGATTTTGAATTTTGAGACACCAATTTTGACTTTTTTTTATTTAAGTACCATGACAAAATGGTCATAAAGTACTGTTAATGTTGAGGGTATAGTGCACATTTAAAATATAACCATAAAAAAAATATAAGAACCTACAAAATAAATTTCATAGGCTATGTTCAGTAATGATTGAAACACATTTTGAATGTGCATTTAAAAAAACAAAAATGCATGACATCATGCACTATCATGACTTTATGCAGAATTTATGCAAATTGTTGCACAGCCAGCATTACCTTACAAAATGACAGTGTTTTTTTGTGAGTACACTTAATTGATAGCACTACAATTTTGTTTTTTTTTTATAACCGATTGTTATGGCAAAAAATGCAAATATCATTCAACATATGCTGTTTATTATTTGAAAAATAAAACTATGAATTTGTTGTATTCTTTGTCTTAAATAAACATGCCTAAATGCCAAGGAAATATATTAAATTTTGAATTCTCCACTATGTTTTAAGAATGAAAAAAATACATTATAGTTACTGCAATTTAACGGTTTATATTCTCTCTCTAAATATATCCCATTTTCAACGGTTAGCCAATTTTTCACATCACCATCTATTCTTAATCATCACAAAAAGCTATTAAAATATTTTAATATTTACTATCATCTACAGTGGGGAACTGGCCTCTGGGTAGAAATGCAAACTGCTTTATTCTGCCTTTACAGGGAAATTTCTATAGTCTGACGGCTAGGGGTCATCACAAATATAACTTAAAGGAAAAGGGAGTGGAGACCTTCCCTTTTCCTTGCCAATTTCTACCGAGAACAGGTCACAACTCCTTTCTCTTTCTTTATTTTCGTTTCCTCTCAGACCTTAGTTGTTGACGCGGCAGATAATTTTAAATAATCAATCAATCGTTTCTTCTCCTCCTTTCTTCAAATCTTTCAGCCTCTCTTCTTCTCTCCCTATCTTTACTATCCATGAGTTTTCTTGTTCACCGAGCTTTGATTTTGACGAATTTTTACTCTCCCTGAAATTACTCTGGGACAGTTACCAAATATGTTTCATATACTGACGTCTTGTCCTATTGGGAAATATGGTTCGCGATGGGAAGAAGCCTCGAAAAGCAGGGATATGTGACTAAGATGCACATCAATGTCTGTCAAAGCGTTTCTTAAAATCGTTCATTCAGAGCTAAGAGTCGCCAGTTAATTGGTGTTGCCAGCTTCATTCACAGTGCAAAAACAGGTCAAATCACAGCATAACATCCCATACACAGCGCTTCTGGGTGGTACCCCCTGCGCTTTAAATCCCTTTAAATGGGCATTATAGTTCAGACACGACATTCTTATTTCTAGGTTATTTTTTATATATTTAGCATGCAAACACACAGGAATTGCTTCAGGGGTAAAAAATCGAATTATTAACTTAAGTAGAGTTTGTGAAAAAGACAAAGTGTTCATAAAGACAGATTTAACCAATTTCTTTTATTCTATAATCTAATAACAATAAACATGTGGCTTGTCACAATGGATTTAATATTAGCAATGGTAAATATCAGAAAATTACAGGAATGTTCTTTTACTAAATCATTTAGAATCTACGGTTAACATTACCCCTCCTTTCTACTAATTATAAGCCACTAATTATAACAATAAATACAATAAAAACAAACGTGAGATGGAATCGAGACAGTCACCCACACTCCCAGGTATTTTCTATAATTTTTCCTTTGTACAAACAAGTAATCAATCTCCTTTTCCTTTACAGCTTTCCTTCATGACCTCCTCCAAAAGACTGAACGCGGTGCACCCATCCATACAATTCACCACATAAGAGGAGAGAAACGAAAAGCTACCTTTCCTCGACACCATAATCCATAGGAGACCTGACGGCCCAGCATTCTCTGTGCACAGAAAACCTACTAATAAAGATGATTTAATACACTATTTCTCCGGCGTGGTCATTGGTTTCTTCCTCCGAGCTCTTAGAATCTGCAGCCTGGAATACGTGGAGGAGGAAATGCAACACGCCAACACCTTCCAACGCCTCCGTTACCCTCGCACCTTGCTCGCTCACCTCCGACGCAAGGCGGAAAAGATCATGTCCTGATCAAGAGGGGACGCCACGCAGAGCAAAACACACAGGATCATCATACCACACTCGCAGCTGATGCATCACCTGGAGGCCCTGTTGGGCCATACGATGAAGATAGCCACCACGTCCGGCAAGAAGATCGGAGGCATCGTAAGGGAGAAGAGGTCAGACCACAATAGACCTCTTAGCCAGGTGTAAAGCAAACCTTGCGGTGACTGCGATAAATTTTACATAGGAGAGACAGGGCGAGGCTTTCACGAACAACGAATCGACCAACACCGCAGCGCCCTCCGACGACATGACAGGAGTAGCGCCTTCGTTGTTCACGTCGACACCGACGGCCATCTCCTTAAGTGGTCCCAGGCCTCCATCATAAAACAAGGCCTGCCCCCACGACAAAGGAAGATGATAGAAGCGGCATAACAACTTCAACACCACAACGGGGAGCCACGAACTAGCCAAGGTCGTCGCTCACCTGATCACCGACATGACCTGACCGCCATGTACATGTATATATGCCTCTATGAATCTCTTGTTCTGTATGCCCTGATGAAGCAAATATATATATATGTATATATATATATATATATATATATATATATATATATATATATATATATATATATACATATATATATATATGTATATATATATATATATATATATATATATATATATATATATATATATATGTATATATATATATATATATATATATATATATATATATATATATATATATGTATATATATATATATATATATATATATATATATATATATATATATATATATATATATATACATATGCACATACATATTTACATCTACGTAAATTCATATCAATACATATTTGTGTATGTACATGTACACATATGTATGCACACACACACACACACATATATATGTATTTAAATATAAAAATAAATATACATATACATATATATGTGTGTGTGTGTACTTATAAATATATACCTATACAAATAAATAGATAAATATAGGTACATGTGTACACATACATATAAATATATATACATATATATATAGATACATATACATATATATATAGATACATATACATATATATATAGATACATATACATATATATATATAGATACATATACATATATACACACACACATATAAGTATATATGTATAATCATGTACGTATATATATATATATATATATATATATATATATATATATATATATATATATATATATGTGTGTGTGTGTGTGTGTGTGTGTGTGTGTATATATATATATATATATATATATATATATATATATATATATATATATATATATATATATATATATATATATATATGTATATACATACATTGAAGAAAGAAGCACAAAGGGATCTGGAAAGGGCGAAAACAGCGGCAACAGGACTACGAGAGGAGTCGGCATCAAGTGAGGCAGTGGGCGCGGCCAGGAGGCTGTAGTGAATGCAATCCCATGTGAAGAGACGGAGTAACCCTGAGGGAGTCAGCTATCGCAATGCTTGTATTTGTTAATGGGGCTTTTCGTGTCGGAGCGGGCAGGCCGGTACGGTGGGGCAGGGATAGATATGGTGACTAAATTCAAAATAAAAGTTTAGGACTAAAAAAATAATGTGAAAGTACTAAAATGAGAGGAATTAAAAAATCTACATTTAACATTAAAGCACTGAAGGTTTTCAAACACTAGGCTGCCCCGTTTTTCTTTACAGTTCCTTCAGTTTCTGTGATGGAAAGTTAAATCTGTGTTCTTGTGACACCTACCAACGTGGAATAAAACTAAGACAGGCTCTTAATGCTCGTATGGTTTTGGGAGGTTCACCTTGATTGCACAGGATTAAAACATTAAAGTATGAATGTCAGATGTAAAAAGGACAACATAAAAAGACAGATAAATTGATTTTCACATTAAAAGTTGGGCAGATAAAATAAAAGTAAATACAAGCGTGAAAAGAAGGGGATGCTTTTAAAGGGATATAATTTGTTTATTTGTTTACATTTAAGATTATATAGAGTTCACTACAACACCGT